TCACTGATGTAGCAGAGCGAGCTAACGACCTTCATTAACATCAGATAGACTTAATGATTTAACTGTTGAAGTTCATTACACTCCTTTACACTGACAGGTACTTCATTCTGAGTAGGTACTCAGTGTGGTATCAGACTCAGTATCAGTACTTCATTCTGAGTAGGTACTCAGTGTGGTATCAGACTCAGTATCAGTACTTCATTCTGAGTAGGTACTCAGTGTGGTATCAGAGTCAGTATCAGCGAGTACTAAAAACATGAACTCGTATTCGGTCTGAAAAAAATGGTGTCAGTGCATCACTTTTACCACTGAGCTAATCCTGCCTCTCATTATAACCTGACTCTGTCCTCTTCTCTGCTTCTGTGTTGTCCTGTTTGTCTTCTGGTGTTCTGTGTTCAGTTACTATGTAATAAACAGACAGTTCTGGTCCTAAAATCTGATTGGCTGAGCAGCATTAGAAGCTGTTGTAAAATACACAATAGACACACTGACGGCCTCACAGCGACTGGACTCTGTATCACTGTATCACTGCACCACACAAAACCCTTCTGCTGTTAATGAATAATCTTTGACTCTAATGCTGCTCACATGGAGCACCGAGGGAACTGATGAAGAAAGAACCCAGTTCTGTTTAAACTGAGAGGCTGACAACTTATTTTCTTATCTAGAACCAGGCTGGTCAGCTAGCTAACAGGCTAAAAGATAGCAAACATGCCAAACAGCTCCATCATTGATATCACAGGCTTGAATTAAAGTACTTACGATATAATTAACTGTAAAACTGCAGAATAACGACTAAAGAATGTCACTTGACTGTCTTACACGCTTCAAACGTTCGTGTTTCTACTGTCCTAAACTGAATTTGGACAGCAGCTATTCCAGAATAACAGTTCCTGACTTCATAATCTCATCATGAACTCCAGATAAGAAAACAGCATCACACAAACATCCTAACTGACACTCCGCACTGTTTTCTCATCCCTCATTCTTTACAGAGTCCCATTCATTTTCTCCCTCAACAAAGTGCTAATCTGTCTTTTTCTGGACAGCCACCAAACTACGCATACTCACTCAGGGCAGGTCCTCAAGCTCTAAACCTCAGCCACACTGACCCGCACTCCTTTATGTGTCATTTTTTCTTCCCTCGTTCCTCCCATAGACTCCCATTCATTTTAAACAACACAAAGCTACCACTTGGTAACTCCCTACAAAAAACTAAACACACACCCCACACACCACGGCAATGACCTAGCAGTAATTTAGCAACGGCATGGGGTACCATAGCAACTGCCTAGCAACACTTTAGGTCACCTGGCACATCGTAATAACCGCTGCGTGACCATTCCGCGTTTCCTTCAGGAAACACACCTTTCTAGTTAATTATAAACTCTTTGCAAAAACCCACATAATCAACTCTGTTAGAGGCTATTCAACAACTCCACTCGGTTATGAGGCGGTGTGCAAAAATGTAGGCCCACAGTTAGCACCATGCTACTCGGTGTACATTAGGTTCTATTACCTATTAGCTACATTAGCCTCGTAGCTCCAGAGCTAAAACTAAGGAAGGAAACTTCAGACACCGAACACGACTCGGCTGATGGACGACACCGAGCAAAGAAGCTGAAACTGGATGAACTTTCGCTTTAAAATGACTGTTTGAAAAAGATCCAGTTTTAGTTCTCTCTCTCTCTCCCTCTCTTTTTCTCTCTCTCTCTTTCTCTGTTCTTTTTTTTCTCTCTCTGTATCTGTCTATCTCCTCTCTTCTCTTCTCTCTCCCTTCAACTGATATTATTCCAAAGAAATGCAAATGAGCGTCCGAGCTGTTATGAGGAGCTGGCTGTGGGGGAGGTGAGAGAGAGAATGAAAGAGAGACAAAGGGAAAGAAAAGAGAAAGAATAAAAGAAGAAAAAAGAGATAGTGAAGAATGTGAGCAGTGAAGCTGCTGGGAGGCCCCGTGAAAACAGATTAAAGTTTTATTTTCTACCAGCTGCTCCTGAAACAATGCAGTCTCTCTCTCTCTATTTCTCTCTCTCTCTCTGTCTCTGTCTCTCTCTCTCTCTCTGTCTCTGTCTCTCTCTCTCTCTCTGTCTCTGTCTCTCTCTCTCTCTCTATTTCTCTCTCTCTCTCTGTCTCTGTCTCTCTCTCTCTCTATTTCTCTCTCTCTCTCTGTCTCTCTCTCTCTCTCACACCCACACCCACATTCATTCATCTGCCTCTCCCTCTATCATTTCATTGCTGCTGGAGTCACACAAGCAGTGTTTTGAAATGTAAAGGGGAAGTCCACCCATTTTCAAAATGTATTCATAATTCAGTGGTAGAGATGAGATGTGTAATACTGATGATGGTAAAATAATGCAAATCTACACCAGAACTCATTTACATATATACACCCATTCAGCCTACAGCAGTTTAGCCCCACCCATTCAGTCTACAGCAGTTTAGCCCCACCCATTCAGCCTACAGCAGTTTAGCCCCACCCATTCAGTCTACAGCAGTTTAGCCCCACCCATTCAGCCTACAGCAGTTTAGCCCCACCCATTCAGCTACAGCAGTTTAGCCCCACCCATTCAGTCTACAGCAGTTTAGCCCCACCCATTCAGCTACAGCAGTTTAGCCCCACCCATTCAGCCTACAGCAGTTTAGCCCCACCCATTCAGTCTACAGCAGTTTAGCCCCACCCATTCAGCCTACAGCAGTTTAGCCCCACCCATTCAGTCTATAGCAGTTTAGCCCCACCCATTCAGTCTACAGCAGTTTAGCCCCACCCATTCAGCTACAGCAGTTTAGCCCCACCCATTCAGTCTACAGCAGTTTAGCCCCACCCATTCAGCTACAGCAGTTTAGCCCCACCCATTAAGTCTACAGCAGTTTAGCCCCACCCATTCAGTCTACAGCAGTTTAGCCCCACCCATTCAGCTACAGCAGTTTAGCTCCACCCATTCAGTCTACAGCAGTTTAGCCCCACCCACTCAGTCTACAGCAGTTTAGCCCCACCCATTCAGCTACAGCAGTTTAGCTCCACCCATTC